GAGGAGGAGGAGGAGGAGGAGGGGAGGCGCGGCCAACAGCCACATACACATTTGAATTGACGCACGAGGAGAGGGGTGCCACTTCCCACGACAGTGGCGGTCTCATTGGGGGGGAGACCCGCCACTGCGCTGGGCGGCACAAACGCCTGTCCCCATGGTGGGTGGACAGCGCTATCCGCATCAGTGAGCTGTTCAGCCTCCTCTCGATTCCCTTCTGGGACGTCATCATCTGTCATCGATGGGGGGGGGGGGGGGGCAGAACCTCGCCGATGCTGTCTGAGCTGGAGCGTGGCAGCGATGGACGTGCCTCCTGGGGGGGAACACCTTGCCCTGAAAGGTGAGACCCCAGAATACAGCGCAACCGCGGACGACGGGGGCGCCAACGGAGCATCCCACATCTCGGCAGTGCGCCGGCGCATGTGGACCACGAAGGAGAGGGTGCACGGTGCCACCGCAACCGCAGACCGACAGAATCGCGATGCGAGAATACCAGAGCCACAGAGGGCGGGCCCGGGGCCAGCGGCAGCCCCCCAGGGAGCCCGGCGCCAGGATGCGAGCCACAGGAGAACCCGCGGGACACGCAGTCCGTCCACGCTGCAGTCCCAGACCAGTGTCAGGCGGGGGCCAAGACGCGGCGAGCACGGGGGGGAGGCGACGAAAGGCCCTTGGCAACCAGCGCGGGGATGCGAGGGTGCCTTGACCCCCCGCGGGAAGCCCCGGGCCAGAGAGGCAGCAGCCCCCGCAAGCGACCAGGGCCGGTGGGCCCCGAGGCATCCCTCCCGCAGGCCGCGTTTAGCCGGGCCGCAACGGGCCTGCTGCCAGAGACCCACCGCCGCTCGCAGGACCCCCACGAATGCGACGCCGATACCAAGTGCGAGCCAGCAGAGCGTGTCTGCTGCTGGGTCTGAGGCGCTCCCAGAGGACCGCACGCGGTCTGATTGTTCAGAGAGGGAGGGGGGGTGGCGCGGCGAGGCAGGCGAGCCCCTGCTGCCCCGGAGTCTCGCTTGGCTGACAGTTGCGGCTACCGTCAGCGCTATCGGGGGCCACCCCCTGTCCACCCGGCTCTAGTCCAGAGACGCGAGCGAAGGCTGGGCCGCTTCCGCACCTTCCGAGGCCCCCGCCGCCCCGGGCCCCCGACACTCCGCGGCTTCCGCAGCCTCCGCCGACTCCGCCGCGACCTCCCTCTCCTTTTCTCTGCCCAGCCGGTGCTGCTGAGGGAGCACGGGCGCCTCTGCGTCTCCCCGCGGGTTCTTCTCGGGGTCGCTGGGTGGCTCTTGTTGCTGCAGCGGGGGGTGCAGCTGCTGCAGCTGCGGGGCTATGTTGCTGCTGCTGCTGCTGCAGCTGCAGCTGCAGTGCTCTGATCCAGAGACGCAAGCGGTGGCTTGCGCCACTTCCGCACCTCCCGAGGCTTCCGTCGCATCGGGCCCCCGATACTCCGCGGACGCCGCAGCCTCCGCCGACTCCGCCGCGACCTCCCTCTCATTTTCTCTGCCCTGCTGCTGCTGCTGAGGGAGCACGGGTGCCTCAGCGTCTTCTCGTGGGTCCTGCTTGTGGTCGCAGGGTGGCTCTTGCTGCTGCTGCGGGGGGTGCAGCTGCTGCAGCTGCTGCAGCTGCGGGGCTCTGTTGCTGCTGCTGCCGCAACTGCTGCTGCGGTGGCTGCTGCGGCTGCTGCCCTGCTGCTGCTGCTGCTGCAGCTGCTGGGTTATGTTGCTGCTGCTGCTGCTGCTGCTGCTGCTGCGGCTGTTGCTGCAGCTGCTGCTGCTGCCCTGCTGGGTTCTGCAGCAGCTGCTGTTGCTGCGGCTGTTGCTACTGCTGCTGCCGCTGCCATGCTGCTGCGGCTGCTGGCCGTGGGGCTGGCCGTGGGGCGGCCGCGGGGCTGGCCGCGGGGCTGGCGGTGGGGCGGTCCGCGGCCCGCTGGCCGCCGCCGCGAAGGCAGCCGCGACGCCGACCGCGGCGCCGCCGGCCGCCGCCGCCGCCGGGGGGGAGCCGGGGGCGGCGGCAGCGGCAGCGGCGGCGGCCGAAGCGCAGGCAGCCGCGGGGGCGGCGGCGGCGCCGCCAGCAGCCGCGCCCCCCGCCGCCGCCGCCGGCGGGGTGCGCGGGGCTGGCCGCGGGGCTGGCCGCGGGGCTGGCCGCGGGGGGGCAGGCCGGGGGGCTGGCCGCGGCACACACTGTTGTAGGAAGGGGGGGCGGCTGAGGCCCGCGCGCGCAGCGGCAGCAATGGCCGGCGCGCCCAGGAGACAGGAGGGGATCCAAGGCCGCGGGCCCTCGGCGCAGAGTCCGGGCGCCCCCTTGAGCGGTGGGAGATTGCCCCGGAGAGGGCAGGCCCACCAGACGGCTTGGGCCAGGCTGCGGAACCTGGTGGGTTTACGCGAAGCGTCTAGAATAAATTCCTGTCGAGATAGAAAGAGGGAACTTGGAGGGAGGGCGTATTACAACATCATTGACGTGTCTTGGGAATACACTGGTCCTCCTCCCCCTCCCCCTCCTTTTCCTCCTTCTCCTCCTACACCTCCCTCTCCGCCTCCTCCTCCTGAGCATCATCCCCTCAGATCTGGGCGTTGCAACTTTTCCTCACTGGGCGGTTTCGCCATGTGTCGAGCCCCTGGACCATCACAGATCGATACTTCTCGAACGATGCCGCAGAAAGATGGAGACTACGGCTTCAGTCGTAACCGTGTTGCATGTTTTTCGCAACGTCGGATCTCAGGGCCTGCACCGCCCTCCTTTCCCTCCTCTCCCCCCATCATCGGCCTGCTGGTGCTCCCCCGTCTCCTCCTCCCTCTCCGCATCCTACTGCTGCGCACCGTAGTCGTGCCCTTCCTTGTCGCAGATTATATTCCAATGCTTCCTTCTCATGTTCTTCAACCGCCGTCTCGTCATCATTGCCACCATCAGGATTGTCATCGTAATCATCCCTGGTGTCTACGTGCCTTGAACCGCCAGATCCCTATGCACGGGTCGGCATGTCCTAGCGACAGCAGGAAGGGCCACTGAGGCGGAGATGGAGACAAATTATGCCAAGCAATCGGTTCTAAGCTAGTATAAAAGGCACGCCTGGGAGATTCTCCAAGGCAGAATGCCTGGAGGAGGGCCTGGGACGTGTCCCCAAGGCCTTAAATGCAGCAGCAGCCCCAGTGCAGCTGTGTGCGTGCCTAACGTTACTGTGCACGACCTGGTTAGCTGAACAAGAACTACATCAACTTAGATTTCGGAGGTCTGCGCGAAGTTCTTGGATCGGCGCTCGACCCCCCCTCCCTGACCTGGGGGCCCAGCGCCGATCCAAGAAATCCGCGAAGACCTGCGAAAGCGTAGGTTTTCGCAGTTGTTTGTTCGTCGACCTGATGCTACCGAGTCCACGCGGGATGCACACCTGAAGGGCGCATCAGGCGCGTGGGACACGCGGTTCACCTCTAACACCGCGAGAGCGGAGCACGGCTCGCTCTTCGGCCGTCGCCGCCCCTGGTCCCAGGCAAGGCGGAGGAGAGAAAGACGGGACTACGTCGATTTGGAGCCGGATGGGAAACTGAGGTGGCCCAGCACTGGTCCTGGCCAGCACACAAGGGGGGAGAAAGGCCCCCCCCCGTCGCCACGGCTGGACGCGGCTCTGTCAACTTCGACACCGGCAGGAGTCCGGGGACTGATCTTTAGCGGCTATGCCCTCATGCCCCCCTCTTGACCGATGTCTCAGGGCCCATCCAGCGCAGAGGCCCTGGCCGCTTCCAAGAAATAGCGGTAAGAAGCTTCAAAACAGAACCTGCCGAAGGTCTGCGCTGACTTCCTGAATCGGCGCTTGACCCCGCCTCCCTTGGCGTGCCGAGCGCGCCAGGAGCGGCGGTTCCAGGAGCAGCCAGAGGGCGCCCTGCGCCGATCCGAGCAACCCGCGCGGGCCTCAGGTTAATTGTTGGTTCCGATGTTGCTCGAGGGAAGCAGCAACAGGACCAGGACAGCGAGCAGAAGGGCGAGCAAAGGAACGATCAGAAGCAGCAGAAGCAGCAGCAGCAGGACCAGGAACACGAGCAGGAAAACACGATGCCTGGGTCCGAGTAGATGGGGTCGAAGGATCGCGCCGACTCGCCGATGAATCGGCGACGTCGGTGATGCATCGGCGCCGTCGGCGTGGAGAAAATCGGGCCACATCGCGCCGCATCACCGATGCATCGGTGATGCGGCGCGATTCTCCGACCCCATCTACTCGGACCCCGTCTACAGGCAAAACAGGCAGCAGCAGGACCAGACCAGCAGCAGGACCTGGAAAACGAGTGCGTCGAATCCTGCCCTCCGATTCGCTCGAAGATCGGGGATATACAAATTAACCCGGGTCAATTTCAAACCCAGGTCAGTCAGGCTTTGCAGGATCCTGCAGGACCCTGCAGGATCCTGCGCGCAAGCCCAGGTCAGCGCACCATGGCCCTGCCGGATCCTGCAAGACCATGAGCTCTGACGAACCCCCGCTTGCATCGACCCCCGTCTCAAGGCTCCCGACAAGAATCCACAGCAGGCCTGCTGGCCACCTGGCTTTGGAGGGGGCCAGGGGGTCTGAACTGGCTGGGACCCCCGGTCAGGAGGGGGGATGGGGCTACATCCGCTCAACATCTACCCCTGGGGTCCATCCAGCTAGATTTTCCCCCATGATCCAATGTTCACCGTCCGCGAGCACGAAAAAAGCCAAAAACCTTTCCGAACCCGCGAGGCTGCCCGCCATTCTCGCTGGCCAGAACCAGTGATGGGCCACCTCTGAACCCCAGACGGGGGCTCAGAGGGGGACCCATGCCTTGGATCAAATCTCAAGCGGAAAAAGAGAAAGGCCACGCGTGTCGCCCTCTAGGAGCGCTTCGGGGCCAAATCGCCGATGATTACCAGACGTTGATCGACGCAAGTGCACTGTAAAGACTGTCCTAACAGGGTTACAAGGTCCCTGTGATCGCCGACCGAAACCTCCGAAGCGCTGAAAGAATCCACAGCAGGCCTACCAGGCGGGCAATCTGGCTCACACCGCGCCCTCACGCGCACACGCCCGCGGCGCCCGCGCCGAGGCCTCGGCGGCCGCAGTCAAACGAACCCCCAGAGTTGGATCTGGTCCTGGCGCGGCGCGGCGCGGCGGCCTGGCACCGGAGCCCAGCCAGCCAAGCGGCCCCGACGACGCCGATGACGAGGCCGAGGACGAGGCCGACGACGCCGACGCCGACGCCGACGCCGACGTCGACGCCGACGCCGACGCCGACGCCGACGCCGACGCCGATGACGACGACGACGACGACGACGACGACGGCGACGGCAACGACCACGGCGGCGAAGACGACGACGATGACGAAGACGCCGACGACAAAAACGACGACGACGACGGCGACGACGACGAGGACGCCGACGCCGACGGCGCGGAGGACACCGATTCAGACACAAACGCCGACCCCGTCCACGACGACGACGACGAAGACGGCGACGACCACGACGACAACGACTACGACGACGACGACGACGACAACGACGACGAAGACGAGGACGCCGACGACGACGGCGACGCCAAAAACGACGACGACGACGAGGCCGACAACGACGCCGACGCCGACGCCGACGTCGACGATCACGCCGACTCCGACGCCGACTCCGACGCCGACAACGACGACGACGAAGAAAACGAAGACGCCGACGACGACGACGGCGACGACGACGGCGGCGACGACGTCGACGACGACGACGCCGTCGACGCCGACGAGGAGGACGCCGACGCCGACGCCGACGCCGACGCCGACGCCAACACCGACGACGACGACGACGACAACACCTCCGACGAAAACGACGACAACCACGGCGGCGAGGACGACGACGAGGACGAAAACGCCGACGACGACAACGACGACGACGATGGCGGCGACGACGACAAGAACGCCGACGCCGACGGCGCGGAGGACGCCGATGCAGACGCAAACGCCGACGCCGACGACGAGGACGACGACGAAGACGGCGACAACGACGACGACGACGACGACGCCGATGACGACGACGACGACGCCGATGACGACGACGACGAAGACGAGGACGCCGACGACGACGGCGACGCCAAAAACGATGACGACGACGACGACGAGGCCAACAACGACGCCGACGCCGACGCCGACGTCGACGATCACGCCGACTCCGACGCCGACGCCGACAACGACAACGACGCCGACGCCGACGACGCCGACGACGGTGACGACGACGACGACGAAAACGAAGACGCCGAATACGACGGCGGCGACGACGGCGGCGACGACGAGGACGACGACGAGGACGCCAACGACGCTGGCGAGGAGGACGCCGACGCCGACGCCGACGCCGACGCCGACGCCGACGCCGACGACGACGTCGACGACGACGTCGACGAGAAGAACGACGACGGCGAGTTCGACGCCGGCACCGACGACGACGGCGACGACGACGCCAACACTCACGAAGACGACAACGACGACGCCGGCGACGACGCCGACGACGACGGCGAGGACGACGACGCCGAGAATGACGTCGGCGCCGACGCCGACACCGACGCCGACGCCAACGCCGACCACAACGCCGACGCCAGCGCCGACGCCGACAACGAGAACGACAACGACGCCGACGACGACGGCGAGGACGACGTAGATGACGACGAGGACGAGGACGAGGACGCCGACGACGACGACGAATGCCGAAGACGACACCGGCGAGGAGAGCGCCAACGCCGCCGCCGACGACGACGCCGACGCCGACGACGGCGACAACGGCGACGACGACGGCGAGGACGACGACGAAGACGACAACGAGAACGAGTTGCCGACGACGCCGACGCCGACGACAACGGCGAGAAGGACGCCGACGCCGACGCCGACGCCGACGCTTACGAAGACGACGACGACGCCGACAACGACGGCGACAACGACGACGCCGACGCCGACGCCGACGCCGACGACGACAATGACAACGACGACGACGTCGACGACGACGACGACGACGACGACGGCGAGGAGGGCGCCGACGCAGACGACGACGACGCCGACGACGACAACGACGACAACCACGACGACGCCGACGAGAATGCCGACGACGACGGCGCCGACGCCGAGACGAGGACGCCGACGCCGACGACGAGGACGCCGACACTGACGCCGACGCCGAGACGAGGACGCCGACGACGACGACGACGGGGACAACGACGACGCCGACAACGACAACGAAGACGACGACGAGGACGTGGACGACGACGACGACGACGACGACGACGGTGCCGACGACGACGACGACCACGACAGCGCCGGCGACGACGACGACGAAGACGACATCCACGACGACGAGGACGACGACGAGGAGGCCGACGACGATGGCGGGGACGTCGACGACGACGCCGACGACGCCGACGCCGCCGACGCCGCCGCCGCCGCCGCCGACGACGACGACAACGACGCCGACAACGACGACGACGGCGAAGACGACGTCGAGAACGAGAACGACCACGACGACAAGAACGACGACCACGACGAGGTCGCAAACGACGACTTTGAGGAAGACGCCGACGCCGACGCCGACGACGCCGCCGCCGCCGCTGCCGCCGACGACGACGACGACGGCGACGACGGCGAGGACGTTGACGAGGACGAGGACGCCGACGACGACGGCGTCGACGACGCCGACAACGACGGCGAGGAGGGCGCCGACGCCGACGTCGACAACGACGCCGACGTCGACAACGTTGAGGACGCCGACGCCGACGCCGACTCCGACGAGGACGCCGACGACGACGGCGAGGAGGACGCAGACGCTGGCGACGACGCCTACGCCGACGCCGACGAAGACGACGACGACAACGACGACGACAACATCGGCGGCGGCACCGACGACGACGACGACGACGACGACAACGGCGGCGGCGACGACGATAACACCAACGACGACGACGACGACGACGACGATGAGTCGGCGACAACGACGACGACGGCGAAGATGACGCCAACGCCAACGCCGACTGCAACGGCGACTCCGACAACGACGCCGACGCCGACGCCGACGACGGCGAGGAAGGCTCCAACGCTTACGACGGTGACGACCACGACGACGACGAGGATGCCGTCATCGACGTCGAGGACGTTGACGACGCCGAGGCCGGCGACGACGAAGGCGCCGACGACGACGGCGAGGATGTGGGAGAAGGGCGTTGTACGCACGAAGAGTCGCACTGACGAAGGGGGGAGCACGTGCGAGGACGCGGAGGAGGAGGAGGAGGAGGATGAGGATGAGGATGAGGATGATGATGAGGATGGGGATGAGGATGAAGATGAGGATGAGGATGATGTTGAGGATGAGGATGAGGATGAGGTTGATGATCATGATGATGATGATGATGACCCACTCGTTCCTCAGTGGTCAGGACGATTGAAAAGGGCACGCACCGTCCTCCTCTTCTTCGCGATGGCCCGAGCCCTCGCGGAAAGAAGGGGGGCGATTGCCGCTGGACCCCGCCTCTTGTGAGCTCGGAGGAAATTGAACGCAGAGATTGCAAGGTCATGCACAATCAGAGCGGAGCAGAGAGCGACACCCTCCAGGGACGGCCGAAGGCAAAGCAGCAGTCTATCTTCGGGCGACCAGGCGCAATAATCTTCGGGAAGGCCAGGAAGGAGGCGAGACAGCTGGAAGAGCAAAAGCGGGCATGATAAATAATGCAAGACATGATCACCACCCATCGCATTACATCCGAAACGGCAGGCTTGGAGACCCTGGTTGAAGCGGGCAGAGGTGCACCAGCCATTACATATGGATCTCAGATAAGCTGCACAAACGAATGGGGCAATGTTACCAGCGACTTTTAAAATTTTGAAAGCTAGGTCAGAATGCCACATCTGTATATTGGGCCAAAACTTCCTAAGCCTGGGAATAAGAGCAACCGTCAAAGGGGCCCGACTCAGAGATTCACGATGTTTAAGCACCTTGAGGATCCTCTTCTGGAGCATGGACATGTCGGGGTCGGAGGGGCTACTGTGGATGGCTTGAAAACGTTCAAACAGACCACATAGGGACCCAGTCATGGACTCACGAACCCAATCGACCCTCCGAGGCACAGCAAGCCGGTCCACTTCGTCATCTCGGAGCTCGCGCCAGCGATCGCATATACGAGGAAAGGCCTCGGACCGAAGACACACACGATACATGGCAGCTTGATTCTCGAGAGTGACCGAGCGGAACTGGACGGGCAGACCGATCTCGTCCGCGTGAGCCAGCACGAGAGAAGGAACAGCCCACCTCGGGCCTGCCGTCAGAAACTGGTGAGCATCCCGCTCAGCGCGGAGAACAGCAGCAGGCGCGGGAAGAAATTGAGCAGGGAAGCTGAGCAGAGGAAACCCGAAAGAAAGTGTTGTAGGCATAGATGTTCTGGGTAAGACCCAGGGCAAGACCGCGAATGTACTGGGGCCGACTTTTGAGCTTTCGCAGGGGACCGATCCAGCTCCTCTCGGGGCCGCCTGGCCCCACCATCATCCCCGGGTATCTAGCCGACGATCCAACTTGGAAAGATGAAACATTGAGCCCGACTCCCTGGAACATGGTAACGATCTCGGCCTTCTCGATGCCGCCTGGGAAGACGATGACGCACTTCTTCGGGTTCAACGCAAGGCCAGTGGCCAAAGCTGCCTTCGTCAGGAGGCGCACAACTATCGGGAGAGACACCAACAAGTCCTTAGAGAGCACCCCGACGTCATCCGCGAAGGCGAATGGCCTGCCTGGATTTGGTCTCAGAGCTTTTTCCAGATGTCGGACCAGAGGATCAAAACATAACGCGAAAATAACCCCGCTCAGCGGACATCCTTGCTTCACCCCGCGGAGGATCTGGAAACCAGCAAAAACCTGCCCTCTGAGCACAGTCTGTGTCCAAATTCTTATACAACTCACTGATGGCAAAGAGGAAGTACCTCGGCACTCCTAGCTTCGAGAGGCAGCCGAAGATCCAGTCATGATCAAGCGACGGAAACGCGGCCGCGATGTCGAGCAGGAAAAGCCCGGCTCGCTGACAGTCTTGAAATGAGAAAAAGTCAATCAGTGGGAACTCCATTTCCAGAATATGGTCGATCATGCTGCGT